ACGTTATTGAGTTATTGATAACGTACTCCGTAGACGGTTCAACTTAGTTAGACTATGGCTTCAGTCCCCCGAGGTTGGGTACACAGCACTTGGTCTGTCCCCCACGGGTACACTGTAGTCTGTAGCCATCCCTATTCCTGTTACTAGTTATTGATAAGACTGTGACGTCAATATTAGACTATGGGCTTCAGTCCCCCGAGGTTGGGTACACAGCACTTGGTCTGTCCCCCACGGGTACACTGTAGTCTGTAGCCATCCCTATTCCTGTTACTAGTTATTGAGTTATTGATAAGACTTCAATATTAGACTATGGGCTTCAGTCCCCCGAGGTTGGGTACACAGCACTTGGTCTGTCCCCCACGGGTACACTGTAGTCTGTAGCCATCCCTATTCCTGTTACTAGTTATTGAGTTATTGATAAGACTTCAATATTAGACTATGGGCTTCAGTCCCCCGAGGTTGGGTACACAGCACTTGGTCTGTCCCCCACGGGTACACTGTAGTCTGTAGCCATCCCTATTCCTGTTACTAGTTATTGAGTTATTGATAAGACTTCAAATTACACGAGTGACAGCTAACTGTGGTCTTCAGACTCCCTATAAGCTGAGGTCAGACTATGAAGCCTTTCCCAGCAGGGCTCACTGAAGCCAGTTCTTTGCTAGTCCTACCACATTTTTCACACGAGTGTCAGCTAACTGTGGTCTTCAGGCTCCCTACAAGCTGAGTTCAGACCATGAATCTGACTTCTTCAACATCCTTGTTGATATTATGCATGCGTATCCAGAATATTATGACTCAGGGTGAATTTGTCCTTTGGAAATTTTACACTTCTACAGAAAGATAAGAATTGAAGAAGTTGGGAGCATTTTGGCATCAACTAAGGTAAAATGTACTTTTGTAACATAATTTACAAAATATTCTACATAATATCCTACATATGAAGCTATGTCCACTTTCTGCACTGTTTTTGACAAACACAACAACCCTCCATAGTACTCTCACTACCAAATAGGGACTACCTATCGACCTGTTTCAAGCAAGGTGAGAATTCAAGGTCATGTTATATTATAAAAATATTATAACTAAATCCTATACAAATCCCACAATACAAACAAAATTGTTATATTAAAGGTAACCTATGTCACCTGCATCAATGTGAATGTACATTATGATAGCAATATTCTTACCATGATTGACCATATTCCTGTTCCTCTCATGTCTGGGCTGTGTATCGTTCAGTTGAATGGTTCCTACAATAGGACAAAGAAGCAAAGTTAAGATTGGACTCTGGTTACATATAACCAAAGGGCAGTGCTATGCAGGCTATACTGGTATACCACTGCGCCACACAACGCCATGTGTGCTGTCATACTGCACAGGCATGGGCAAGCTATAGCTTATTTGCTGGCTGTCACCATATGGGTATTATTTTCATGTCAAAATCGGTTTTCACTTTCTTTAAGAAAAAGGAGTTGGCTGAAGGGGACCAAAATCAACTTCTGTTCCTGTCCTACAGTAGTACTTATCGAATTTCTATTGTATATTTCTAGAAGTCCTCATGGTATTATAAAATGTAGTAAGTAACTAGGACTGCTCAACTAGATACAAAATGTAGAAGTGTTGGGATACAAGGTGAAACAAAGTAAACTAATACATGTACAATGAGCCATGCAATGATACTATTGATTTTAAACAAGCCAGCACTATATATTAAATATACTAGTACACATCTGCTTGGATACATGTACAAATGTATATGGAAAAAGGGCGCACCTTTAACCTTGAAGTTCCCTTGGCTAGAAGTAGACTTACATGTCAAACTTTCAGTGCTTGAGTGCGACTGGAAAGCCCTGCCAAAGTCTGTGATGAATTCAAAGACAATAAATGAATTCAAAACACGGCTAGCATTGGGAGAACCTGAAGTACATCACATGAGTAACATTCATGACCAGAATTACAACAGGAAGAGCCTTCTCATCCCAAAGAATATAAAAAATGTAAACTAGAAAGTTCATGCATGAAAGTTGAAACTCTTCCTTTATCATCCTTGCTATTTCGATTTGGTCAGTATCCACAACGGGAACCCCAGTCCGGAGTCCTACATTGCCTACAAGGAGTCAGTCAGAAAGAAAAAGGAAAACACAAGTGGCAACACTCGACACTTCACATTGTACTAATACACATACACACGCACACATATACACACACAGGGTCTGCATCAAACATTATTAACATAAATATCAAGAAAAACTTGAAAGCCTGATGCTAAATTGCTATATCTGGCATCTTATGGGTCATTTGGCTTGTAACTGCTAAAAACATGCCACAATCAGTCAATAATCAAAAGAAAAAAGCATTTCTACTTACCGAGTACAGTGACCATGCAGGTAGCCGACTTCTCGCCAGCATCGTTGCTTGCGGTGACCTTGTACAGTCCGGAGTCTGTCCTCTGGGAGTTCTTCAGCACGCACTCTGACCCGTCCTCTGTCGGACCAATCACAGTGCGCGTCTTGTCCAGCTCGGGGTCGGCCTCCCACCATACCTCGGGATCGGGTTTCCCACGGATGTAGGCAGCCAATCGGATGGGATGTCCGGCGCGGACGGTCAAGCCTGACAGCAGACCGGCCTCCAGCTCAATAATAGGCTCATCTAGAGGGCAAGACAGAGGAAAATATATTCAGTTAATTTTACACTTTCACAATTTTATCTACTGTATATGACCATTTAACATTTTTATACATTGTGATAATTTCGCAGATTTCAGTATAATGTGCTGTTGAGCAACTAAATGCTTTATCCAAACATCCATGATAAAATTGAAACATTAGCATGAAAGTCAATCTGTGTTAACTTGGTACAAAACATGGTTGATTATGGAAAAAAGATTGAAACCTGTAATCGTCTTGGTGTAGCTGGTATTCCACCCCCATCACGTTCAGCCACATCTGGAAATTATGCCATTTTTTTTACCAAAGGCAAAACCTCCAGGTGTGGAGAAAGGTAGGCAGCCCAGCTTTTCCCGTGTCCCCTTCACCCCCCTCCCCACACCGTGAGCCCAGATTATGTGGCAAAACTACGAACGCTCTCCTTTTTCAGCACTCGATTCCAGTGCGGAAAGTGGCTTTAGCACTGGACTTCCAGTGCTGAGGCAAAACCCCTAAACAAACGCAGCATTTAACCACAACACAGCCTCGGAGCATACCAAACCTCAGCGGATCAGTCCGCAAAACAGTCCGGATCATGATTTTACGACCTCCTTGAATATAGAGTACAGTAGAGTAGTGTAGTCTACTAGTTTAGTCTGGTAGGACTGGGGTCCAGTTTAGACTGCTCCTTTTCACGTCTAGACAATGTACGTAGGTAACGTTACTCCTACCGTGATTGGCCATATCCCTGTCCCTGTCATGCCTGGGCTGCAGTTGAATCATCCCTAGACAATTAATAAATAGGTTTCAGTATGATGAACCTCCTTATAATTATAACCAAGGACATTATACAGTGTCTTTGGTATAACCGTTATATAGAACAACAGTCTACGGATCAGGTACTTTCTCAAAATTTCCAAGCAGATCCCCACAGCAAAATCGTAACGTTTTCTTAACGCCGTGGCTATATACACACCCGGTGTGTATATAAAAGACAAATAGATTTTATATACACACCGGGTGTGTATATAGCCAGCCACGTTCATTTTTAATAGCTGCCAGGAACCAGTTTTGGCCCAAAGTCCCCCAACGATTTTGCTGATATCTGCTTGGAGATTAAACTTTATAGGCCTCGGAGTGCTGTTTACCACAAATGACACAACATATATGAGGCCAATTATTTAACTTTTTGACAATACAAAAAGTATATTTTCGGGTCACTTTTCTTTACATTGTAAGTTGACTTAACCCTTTAGTATTCCAGAACAATATTCAGCACTAGAAAGTGCAACATCCTTGATCCATACAAGCATGATAGAAAACTGAATGATCTTCTATTCAAACCTGGCCACACCGCACATATGGTTGTCCACTGCCAGTGGTGTGGCCTACCTCCCAGTGGGGCGTCAGTTGACAACTTACAAATTTCTGAAAGATCTAATCGTTTACCAGATTTTTTTAAATCTATTTTGAAGGGATATTAAAATGACCAGTTTATTGATGCCCAACAAAATACACAAGTTCATAATTATATTCCACGCATTTGAAAGAGTACGAGTACTTTTGTTTTATTTCCAAAGAAGCTAATCTTGTGACCTGGCATGCCACGCTAGGGGGCCAACCACTGTATGTTGTTTTTGTTGTCATATAGAAAACCGGTGGCTAGCTCTCCACCAGACTTGCGGACTGAATAAATCGTAGAAATCGGCCTAAAAAGGGTATTAATTTCAAATTTGAGATTCGACGGCCGCTACCTTCTCTCGCCAATTAATACCCTTTTAGGCCGATTTCTACGATTTATTCATCCCGCAAAAGAAGTCTGGTGGAGACCATGTTTGAACGCACAAAATATACGTCAAAAATGTGAAATAATGTCACAAATGTGTTGAAAGGTGAAAGTAATTGTTGCTAACACCATGGAGTTAAAATCAACCTCCTTGCTAACACCAAAATTAAGTATAATTAGAAGATTTCAAATTTTTGCGTAAAAAGTTACATAATTGGCCTATAACAAACACTTTATCCGACCAACACGGCATGGTGAAAACCCCTTGAATACCAAAAAGCAGGTTGACAAAGTGCGTGACAAATTCACTTACCTCCCATGAAAAGGATGATCAGAAATGTGGAAACATTGGCAAAAAAAATGACGTTGATTCCTGCCATGGTGCTAGAAGCGCTCGGGGACGGTCTGCGTGCGTCCGCACAGCACAGCTTCTCACTAGCAAGTGACCACACACACCGTGGGACAGGCGTTATCTCCTGGCTTGACAAATATTACGTCACAAAAATGGAGACTGCTGATTGGCTTCAAATTATATAGTGAAATTCCGTCACCGATGTGTGAAAGACGGCCATTGTTATCGCTGTAAATTCAGGCGGACACATCACAACTTTTGTCGACTGCCACTGGCCCGCGTCTACTGTAACGTTTATACTGGATGAACGTAGTCCAGCGGGATGGAAGCGATTCCTGCTACGACAATATACATAGCACTAAAAAACATACCATACCCAATCTCTGGACCGGTAAGAATTTTGAGGACTGACGAGGGTAGGCTTACATTGGTCCAAGGATCTCGGGAAATCGTTGCTCACTACCCAGAAGGAGCATTGAGGCTATTGGAAGTGTGTCGGAAGTTCCCCTGTCGCTGGCATTGTCGTGTTGAAGAATCAGAAGAAAGCAACTCTCCGGAGCCTGAAACCTTCCTGGAAATATCAATCTCAGCTTCCCCTGAATTGGTCCATAGCTTACGATCCTCCATAGACAAGGAGCTGGAGTTTAACAAGTACGCATACAGATGGAGACCGGACATAAAAGTCAAAGATGATTATAGTAGGCAGGTGAGTAACGAAAATTTTATTCTCATGCAGTGTTAAAAACGAGCCGTGATACGTTCCCTCCCAGCTTGACTGCTTATTGAATTTTGAGTGTGTCACAACCTGAAACGGATATTATTTACAATATACTTTTTCCGTTTGACCTACAGGACACAATCAGCAGAGTTCATGAGGAAAACAGCAGCAGCAGCGATGAGGGAAACACCAGCAGCGATGAGGGCCCCGGAAACACCAGCAGCGATGAGGGAAACACCAGCAGCGATGAGGGGAACACCAGCAGCGATGAGGGCCCCGGAAACACCAGCAGCGATGAGGGCCCCGGAAACACCAGCAGCGATGAGGGAAACACCAGCAGCGATGAGGGCCCCGGAAACACCAGCAGCAGCGATGAAGTGTGCGACGAGTGTGGGTTTCTTATCTTCCGACGATCAGAAGATTTAGATGAAATGCACCAAAATATTAGAGACAACATGTACAGACAATGCTTCGCTTGTGGCGAAAGGAACGCACTATATATGTGATTGAATTGGGGATGACTCGGAAGACCTGAGAATATTTTCTACGCCTTTAGAAATGTTTATGAAAACATCAACTTTTTTTGGATCTAAATCACGACATTCAATCATTAAGCATTTAATTGTGGAGTAAAAGAAACCAAGAGTTTTATTATATATATATAATCATCTACATCATAGAGAACCAGTAGAGAATGTGTGCGTTATATCTCAGATAATAGATAAGCAAGACTGCGTGTGCGCCTTGGTAAGTTAATAAGAGTCAAAACGCTGGAAAGATTGTATTATTTTACTCCTAGTAATAGTACCTTTCTCTGTATTCTACAATTACTTAGTGGTATCAACTTGCCGAAAATTGGATTTGGTTATTTTCGGAAATACCATTCAAATTTGTCTGGACCTTACGGAAAATTTTACATTTCATTTACATGACATTTCAATCTGTACACGTGCCTTATTTAAGTACTGTTTACACCGATGCCACTTGAACAAATAAAGCTTTCCTCAAACTTACTGAACTACTCCGTATATTTTATTCAAGGGTTGTGTGAATTGATCATGCTGAGGTACATGTCTCTAACATGTTAACAACATATACTAGTAGCTCTTATTAGTAGACTATCGTGGCAGACAGAGAGCACTTCGGAAATAGCCAAACAATACCATGCTCATTAGTAATGTCCGTGAGAACGGACTATTCTACACATACATGCGTTCGTCTGTTTCTAATTTCTATCATTGCATGGCCATCTGATACAGTAGTGAGAGTCTAAAATGATATGTGTAGAAAAGCTTTCAAAAAGTTTAAACAAAATGTGAAACCTAACTTGAGAGACGATAGCGATGATTTAGGTGTTGTTGCAAAACCCGACTTTATCATCTTAGGCCACAACCACATTAATTTTCGCCTGATTTTGCCTGAAAAAAAAGGACATTTTGTTGCCCTCAAGTTCACCGGTGGTCAACATGCCGAAAATCGGCAAATACGTAGTTGATATCTTTCGGTTCAGAGACCACTGGGATCCAGCAAACTTGAGGCACAATTGTGTTCCTACAAGACAGATAATACGACTAGTTGGTTGTAACATCATACATGTATTTTGTCGCCTCAATTCTTGCTTAACAAGGTTTATGATCTCAAAATTTAAAAATTCGGAATCTTTTTTTTTTGCCTGTCTTGTTCTTGCCTTATCGCATTGAAGTTAAAACCCATATTGATAGAATATAGATAAGGTAGCTGAAAATTCTATTCAATAAGTGTTTTAACTTAGGTGTATTGCCAAAGTAATGGACTGTCGGTATCCTACACATACTATTCAAATCTGGTTTGAAGGACAAAGTGAACAATAACAGAAGTAAGACTTAACTTTTCGGTAAAATTTTGCAGTCAATTCTAAAGAAACGGATGCAAGAAGAAGAAAAGTACAGTCAATCGATCTCAAAGGGTTTTAGGGAAAACCGTAAGGGGTAATGGATAATCTTCTTGTATAAATGATTTAACACAAACGTACCTTACAGCACCAAGAGGACGTTTGTATGTCACATTCCTCGACTTTTCTAAAGTATTCGATAGTATTCATGAGCGCACCTGTGGTTAAAGTTGGCACGGGTCGGAATATTTTAAGTAAGAAAATATCAGACACAATTCTAGCATTATACGAAGATGTTACATTATGTACTTTTATTGCACTGGGCAAAATGTTGTCCCATTGTCTGAGAGCAAAGTTTCCCTGCCGCAAAGTTGATACTATTCGCAGGTATTATCATTATGGCCATGCGCAGCGTTCGTCCCCACCAAATGGTTCTACTGCAAGTGGCCCATTACCGCACGCCGGGGACTCGCACATACACAGACAGACCCAAAACAATACATCCATTTTTTCATGGAGGTAAAAAGTCTCAGAGTTTCATATAACTGAACCTGAACGTTCAGCGCAAACTGGCGGTGGTCCGTCGCGAAGCGGCGATTACAAATTGATACAAGTCCAGTCAAGTTTATTGCACAACAATTGCATTTGATACAATGTATGGCAAGTAAAACTTAATAACTATAAGCTATTTCTACTAGTGGACTAATCTAATTTCAATGCATGTATATATGTTTTAATAATGGAATGTTACATTTCACAATGCAGTGACAAGGTTTCTCTTTTGTATAGCATTATGTAAATATTGGCCTAAATCATACAGAGTCGGGGCATGATAACAATATGTTGAAAATTTCTCTACTTGTCCCAGGTAGTGTTATTCTATTTTCACATGATATCATTAGTTTTTCCTTTCTTCGTTATAGTATCGGATGGAAACTGCAGCATTATAATGATAGTGTGTAAACTGAGCCATGACGGCTCGACATACATATAATTCCGATGTAAGCCACACAATTAAGTGACAATAACTCTCCCTCTCTATTCTCTCTATACGACCATCCAACTTCAGAATATCATCGCATACGTCCTAACAAGCCCACTCTACAAGCCGTCACAACTGCGTCGTAACAATACTAAGGCACTATCGGCTGACAAGAAACATTTCTCAGCCAAGTGCACGTGGGGACAAACTGACAGGAAACAAAATATTACTGATAGCTGAACCGAACGAAATATCAGTGTTCACCCCCGCGATCCCTTCTGCATTCGTCAAACACGGCTATCATGGTATCGAAAGACGAATGGTAAAAACACCACCTAGCGATTCAAGTATATAAAGCATTAGTGCCTTCCGTCAAAAGGCAAACTACCAAAAGGTTATTTGCTAGCGCCAAGGTGCTAATAGCACCCCGCGCAGCGGGGGAGCCGCAGAAACTGCGGCTTTCCATCATACGCTTCTGAATTGGCCCAGTTCGTAATGGTAACATTTCTGGCTACCATGGGGTGCCTTGGCCTGTTTTTGTTTTTTTCCCTGTCGCTCCTGATTTTTTCTGAAAAAATCTGAGAAATAACAAATTAAATTGGTGTGGCCTGAGCATAAAAAAGACCAAATGCTGTAGTTGACTCACCATGGATCCATCTGTGTTTATTGTACAGCCCACAGTGTTTGGGGTACAGTCCTCCACAGCTGCACACTTTTTCCTCACCATGACACTGCTGCCCTGACCGTTCATCCTGTGTAACGTATGGCAGTACTTGGTACCTGGTGGAAACAAACAAGATGGTAGGTCAGTCTCCTCATCTCCTTAGTTCAATGTGTGAGAGTGCAGATTTCTGCATTAATAATTATGTTGTGGGCAAAATAAGGGATGTGGTGGTAAATATGTTTATTGCCATCATGAAAGTTCATCTGTGTTTGTTGGTAGTTACATCCCACTTACCCAACCCACTCACTCACTCACTCACTTGGGTACTCACTCATTCACTCACTTGGGTACTCATTCACTCACTTGGGTACTCATTCACTCACTTGGGTACTCACTCACTCACTCACTCACTCACTCACTCACTCACTCACTCACTTGGGTACTCACTCATTCACTCACTTGGGTACTCATTCACTCACTTGGGTACTCACTCACTCACTCACTCACTCACTCACTCACTCACTCACTCACTCACTTGGGTACTCACTCACTCACTCACTCATTCACTCATTCACTCATTCACTCATTCACTCAACAAAGATGTCAGATCCCTTAGTGCACTTTCTCCTGAGATAAAAAGTATTCACTATGTTATTACTGTGTAATCCCGTCCAAGCTCATGTATTAAGCTGTTCCTCCACAAGAGGAAGAAATGCTCCCCTTTGTTTACAATTCATGGCTAAGGACAGACCTCCTCAAGGATGGCTGTGATACCAGACTTTAAAAAGCAGTCTGGGGAAGAAGGAAGGTGGTGGTTATGATGACAATAATCTCTTATTTGTAATTTTAACCCACACAGAAAAAACATGGCACTTTTTTTCACCCAAAAATAGTTTCATCAGGTTGGTAAAGTATAGGAGACAGGAGTTTTCTCCTCAGAGCTTCTGAGGAAGGTGTCTGACACCGAAACGTAAGAAAGGTTAGTCTAACTTGACCGGAAAAAGAAAACTCATGTATCCTACATTTTTTTCACATTTCAATATCTGCATTTTTTAAAGTTTTTTCATCATCGTCAGGCCTATAGTCATATAGCTAAATAATAAGCTATAGGGGAAGTCTGTCTGTCCACAAACGTTTTCTACTTTTGATTACTGTAACTGAATGCTGTTGAGTATTCAGTTGAGTTATAAAACATCATTTCCAGTTTTCATGAGCCATCAATTGTTCAGTTAGATGCTGGAACATCTTAAACTTTCAAATTGCATTACAAAGACGATAAATTACAACTTGGGAATTTGGTACATGAACTTTCCGACCTTTTCTTAGCTCTGAACAAGGTCAAAATTTTTCCCAACAGCCCAGTGCTGTAACATTTAAATGAACACGACATTTCCTTAGGCTAGTACTGATACCAGAACACAACAGTGATGCTTTTGAAATCTCAAATGTCCTCAAACCTGCAACTCAAAACAGCACCGCAACCACTTTTTCCCTCTAAAATTAAACGTTGTTGACAGTTCTTGTACTTTAATTTGTTAAAGGTCGA